CCACCAAACCGAACTCACGGAAGATGACAGATTTCTTGGACCCATGAAACGAGCCATCATCAATAGAAACGTCACATCATTCAACAAATTAGGATCGTATATGGCTCAATTTTGGACCAAGGCGGCTGTGGTGAACAATTGTGTTATCATTGATAACAAACTCGCAATTCCGGAACACCTGAGGAAGGCCATCCTCGCCAGATTACATCGGTCTCATCTTGGGCAGGAGGCAATCGTCCGCCTCCGAATACATTTGGTGGCCATTCATTCCGCGAAAGCACTTCGTTTGGTAAGAACCTTAACCCACTGAAGCGTTTAAAACGGCGAACTCACTTCCTAACTTGTCTGGGCCTAACTAAGAACTTCAACTAGACTTTGCCCTGACCAATCTGGCCGGGCGAAAAAGAAAAAAAATCTACCTCATAGTCGCTATTGATCGTTTTTCTAAATCTCCATCAGTCCTTATCACAAAAACAACGGGGGCGAAAAAAGTCGTTAAATTCTTAGAATCCTATATTCGCATACACGGCATCCCTCAGTCGATCAGAACGGACCACGGATCAGGATTTAATAACGATGTAGTTAAGCAATATTGTTCTAGCAGAGGCATTGAACATATTCTCACTCCAGTAAAGATCACCGAGGCAGTGGCTAAGTTGAACGCTCAATACAAACGATTAAACGTAAATTAGGGACGGAAAAACTTCAAGCAATTCAATAACTTGAAATCGACGATCCAGCAAATCGACGAAGATATCCGCAAAATTAATCTTTCTGTGCTTTAAAAGTCGCCGTTTGAATTACATTTTGGTAGGAAACCAAACGCGGAATGGTCTCAAGCGTTTAACAGTCTTATAAAAAATGATACTTCAGCTCAAGGACTCGAACGCAACCTCCTTACCCCGGACCAAACCGCCAGCCAGGACTACAGACGGGACCGAGCCAAGTTGGTACCAAGAGGTGGTGAGAGCCCTATCATTGCCCCTCGCTTCAAGCCTCTGTTCGCACTGAGTCGAAATGTGCCGGACAGCGAACCATACAAAGCTTTAGCAGACCTCGCTGGGGCAGCCAACGTTTGGACGCAGCACAAAAGAAACCTCCCGGCCGAGAGTGGTTAACCAGTGTTCAAGGAGCGGGCTAGCCATCAATCAGACCTCGCTAATACCCTAAAAACTGGCTTAACCAGGAACATTGATTTTACGATCATGTGATCGACCCGTCACCTCCAGCGCTCTCACATAGTCAGAGATCTAATGTCGCCCAGAACACGCCTCGCTCGACCAAAACAAGTAAATTGGAAAAACTAGTTTGAGAGTCTTTCGGAAAATCATTGATAGACAATCGGGCAAAGTTCAAGATTACTCGAATCACTGTTCATACTTACATCACTGGTAAAGGAAATGTCTATCGGAAAAAGCACGCATGCCTTGAGCCTAACTTTCATTATTACATTCAGCTAGTCAGAATACTCTAGGCACTCGCCTCCCGGCCACTACATCCGCAACTGCAACGAAGAGGATCGCTCCACACCCTCAACCAGCCTTATTGGAACCACGACCAACTAACGCACCCATGTCAGATCCGGTAATTGTCGGCTTAACGGCGGAGTCATCCAGCGAGGGATCTTCAGGCACAAACAACCCGCAAATTGAGTGGCCACAAATGTCCTCGGGGTCTCCTCCACCAAAGTTCCTCAAATCTTGCCTGCCTCAGTCGCCATCGTCCCTCACTTCTCCCGCAATTACAACTACCACGGCCACTACCGACGTCAGCCACCGCATAGGACAGTCCACTCAGGAGGTTATCAATTAGCCTTTAGCAATTAAGGAATCACCTGCTCCACAGGACGACGCGGATCCACAGGCCACTCGTGCGTCCTCTCGCAGCAAGAAACCGACGCGTTTTTTCGGCTACCCCTCCGACATTCTGTTTAACTTATCGCTGAAGACCAAACAAATCAGAGAGGCGAAACTCTACCAACCACACCGTCACCCCGCAAACGGACAGAACTCATTGAACAACGGCCGCTCACTATGCCTCAAGAAATGGCACCATCTTCTGGTAAAGAGAAAACTTTCCATAAAGATTTTAAAAAATTTCAAACTGTTCTAAAACTTATCAAAACTCTATTGGGAGCTGATTCTATTCATTTTCTGTGATAGGGGTGCTACTAAGTTTGTGCTTTTGTGCTCCCTTATCCAAATCATCTACTTTCTGCATATTTTCTAATTCAACAAAAAAAACCAGCCTGGCGGAACACTTCCAATTAAAATTTAGCCTACGTTTGTTACTAAAGTTTTTCCTCGCGCGGGGAAAATCGTGAGGTGACCTTCGGTACCTCGTACTTACTTACTGTTCCTCACACCTTTTTGTAGTATTGCGCAAGCGGTTATCTTCAAGGTCACTTAGGACCGACTTAGAAACATAGTGTTGAACACGGTCACTCTTGATTTTTTATGCTTAGAGATAGGTGTTAAAATGCATGGTCTTACTTTTCTGCTGTAAAAGTGTTTCCTTTAATGTGAAGTTGATACTGTGTATTGGATTCAACTAACTAAATTTCCAACTAATCATTATTCAACTAATTTACAATATCCTTTTAAAACTCTCTAGTTTTTGAGTGAAAATTCTTCGGGTAATGTCATGTCCATTACGGGTTTATCACACGACTTTCCACCACTTCTTAACTGCTATTTCACCTTGGTGAGATGTTTTGCTCAATAAGTTCAAAGACAGCTAAAACTTTGTTAGTTAAGTTCCATTCCTCAAATTAATCACTTCGTAAATGCTTCGGAAGCTCAGCGCTCAATCGCAATCGGTGCAAAATAATATGTAAGAGTTTTGGAAATTGCTATTAGTTTAACGCCAAAAAATTGAATCGTTACCTATACTACACGACTCAAATAATGCTTTGCATTTTCTTGAAAAAACCTCGCAAGCATCAAAATCAGGTCAAATATCTTGATCTATTTATATCTGTTAACCTCGTGTGGCAACACCATGTCTCTGCTAAGATTGGAAAAGCACGCCAAATACGCCGGAATCGGTTAAATATTGGCACGAAAAAACTTGACATAATGATTCGTTCCATAAACTGATTTTGAAGTGACTGCTACTAGCAAGAAAACTTTAAGAATCAGTGATTATCTTAAGAGCTTATCTTAAGATGGGTGTTGAAGCACGTGGAATCTTCATTGGGAAAACGTGGGTTAAGTCTGTCAAGGTAAGATTTAAGAAGTGTGGAATAGTCCGAGCGGAACGTAAATGCACGCGGCTGAAACGTCCTTCCTACTGCGTGAGAGTTCGGTTGGAGTTTTGCCGAGCCTTTTGGGAAAGGAGAAACTTTCATTGGAATTGGAAACCGCACGTGTGTTAAATTCTGGGTTTTAGCTCCCTTGTCGATATATTCTTTAGGGTAGACCAAGTCAGTCAAAAGTCCCGCGGCTTTTGAATGACGGTTCATTTTGTCTGGATGGTGTCGTTAGTATCAAGTATTGTTCTTCCTGCACGGGTGTATAATTGGCAACTGGCATAGTTTTGGAACAAAACAGGCTCAAGAGGTGTTTACCAGAAGGATATGGTATTCAGTATCTGTGTTAAATTTTGGTCATTTTGCATCCAGTTACAGAGCAGAGGGCCGCGTTTAGTTCACTTTGTAGTTGTTGGATGAAGGTAGTGCTTGCTGCATGATAACACGCTGCGACAGCGTATTCTAGGACAGATCTTGTCCTATCTTTTTGCGTAATTAGAAGCGTCTCGTTACTTTGGCTCCAGTTGAGCCTTTCGGTATCTTTAGTCTTGCAGTGAAGGAAGTATTTCAGGAATGGGTCTCAGTTGAGTCCTGCGATTTGGAGTCAGGTGAGAAAAGTGACACTGAGCATTTTTATGTGGAGAGATCTAAGTTAGGACTGTCGACGACTGTAGATAAAATCTTAAGTAAGTGGAAAGAGGAAGAGAGTTTTGATTTTGATGCCTTGAGTTTAGACATTAAAGTTGTCAGCGTAAGATATAATGGATTTATTTTCGGGGAGGGGGAAGGGACTTGCAGCCAAAGTAATTGAAGTGTTGTTGGAGATAACCGAGCCTTGGAAGACTCCACTGCGGACTGTTTTCGCTTTGAAGACTCTGAAAGTACTCTGGCCTGTCTACCGCTCATGCAGTTGCTTAGCCAGCGGGCGAGAGGATCGGCCAGTAAAAAGAACAATTGTGTTTTGTCTTTTTTGATTGAAATCATGCAAAATTGAGTGGTCTAGGGAAGTTAAGACAATGCTGGCGTGGCTTGGGTTTTAGGTATCCGATGAGAGGGGCGAGGAGTGCTTCAAAAAAATTGATAAGGGGGCCGAGTAAGGAAATAGGGTGATAGAACTTGGACAGAGCAGGGTCTCATAAGGGTTTGACGATGGTGGCTGTTGTCCAAATGGATGGGATTAACTAAGCGCGTAAGCTAAGTTTTCTGACTTGAGTAATTCTAGGAAACTTTCACTGAGATGTTTCAAATGAATTTTTGTAAACCCATCAGGACAAAAAGCTCGAGATGTAATTCTCCAGTTCTTCAATAAAAAAACTGAGGCGCATGTGTTAAGGAGAGACGTTTAGCATTTCTCTTATTCTTACAATTCTGCTAGGAAAATTTGCGCATAGTGCGCAAGTTAGTTGGAGAAAAAAGCGTTGGCAATTAAGGATGATGTTGCAAGAGACTTGGAATAGACGAAAATGTTATGGTTTGAGTCTTTAGGTCGTGAACCGTTGAAGTTTTCGTGAATATTGGCTTCTCTCGTTATAGGAGTTTCGTTGATTTCATGAAAGTTTTTCAATACTCCGCCGTAATTTTGGGTAAAGTCGTGAGAGTAATAAGTAAACTGCAACAACCAAAAATGGTCAGTATTCTAGGCGGGGGAGTTTCTCGACTGTTGAATCCCGACAACTCATTTTCTCATTGTCCTGATTTAGTTTCTATACATTAGTTTTAATGGATGAATAATTACTCCACAAGAACCTACCTGTTCGGGTGTGCCTGAAACTGTGAGGTTGCTGATGACCCAGGCGGCTTCCTTTTGTGTGCTGAATTCTGACTCTGTCAGTAGCACAATGATCGGCTCAATCAGACCTCCGTCGATTACCTGTTGCACTTGCTGCTTGTTTCCCGCAGTAACATTAGAGATAAACCAGGCCGCTTCCTAAACATCACAGTCAGGTGTCAGAATGCGAGATTAAAACGAGAGAAAGGATTTACAGGAAAGATTTGTAATAAATGGTTTTAAAACATTTTTCTCTTGACAAAAAATGTTCTTCGCGGGCAATAAAAAATTCTCGGATGTAAAAAATAAACTCATTTGATGATAGTTCAATTTACTTTTTTGATTTTCTCTTTGTTGTGTTTGAGAAGGGCGGGAAAGTGGGAGAGTGCGTCACAATTCAGCACCATTTGCGTCTGTTCGTCAGTGCCCGTCACGATGTTGCCCACTGCCCTGAGAGCAGCCGTCTGAACCTTCACCTCCTGGTGACTCAGCAGTGCCACAATGAATGGAACCACTCCCGAGTTGATCACAAACTATATCAGAAATTTCATTTGAAATTTCACTATTTAATAGCTCGAGAGACTCTTTTAGAGCGAGAGAGAGTAAAATTTATTTAGCCAACAAAAAGCACGAAAACAAACGATAAAAAGGCAAAAATTAGTAATTCAAAATCTAATTTATCGACATTTCTACGATTTAATTTTTCATTTTCACAACAGCGCAAAATAGTTCATTTGATCACAGAGAGCGAAAAACTACCAAACATTTAAAATGCGTAGACGTCTTCCAAACAGTAAACATAGCCAAAAGAACGTTGAAGGAGTGTCATTGAACTTAAGAAACCAAAATAAAAAACAAAAAAAAACGAATGGACAGCGTAAATAGTCTTTCTTTTGGCAAATGAATTTGAATTGAACTTGAAAAGAAATCACAAGTCAAACCGCAGAAACTCATTTGAGCGAGCGTGATCAAATTTAAATATTTGATCTGGAAAAAAAACTCAACGAGTGTCTCCAATTCGTTAATTGACACTTGAAACGGCTGTCTAAATTTTGTGACGTCAACAATAATGGCCAACATACTTGTATTTGCTCATTGCCGCCGTCTGTCAAATAACATAGTGCCCAGACTGTGTCTACGAGCACACTTGTGTCTGTGTGATTGATGAGCAGGTAGAGCGCTGGAAGCAGTTGCAAAATTGTCTCGATGCTCGGAGGGGGTTCCTTGTGTCTGCAAAGATTAACCAGAACCCAAGTGACATTTCTTAGAAACGCAATTGGTATGTCGTCATTAATGAACTTCAGTAGAGGCTGCACAACACCCTGTTCAATACAAAAGTCTCTCAATTCAGGTCCGTCTCCGATAATATTTCCCAGGGCCCACACTGCTTGTTCCTGGACATTTTGGTGTACGGATCCCAGTAGTTTCAGAAACAATGGGACGGCACCATTGAAGACTACAGCTTTTGTTTGATCCGACGTTCCAGAAGCGATGTTAGTTAGAGCCCATGCGGCTTCAAATTGAAGAGGTGGGCTGAAACGCCAAAAGACGATTAAACATACAAGATAACTATTTTTTAGTGATCAGTTTGCAAATGATGAATTTTACAATAAACAGAGCAAACTGCTTTTTCCATACCGTTGGGCTCAAAATTCCAGCGCCTTTTTTCGACGCTAAAACTTAAATCGTTCCGACGTCACAATGACGCAAAAATTAACATGAACCTGTCAAATTTCTGAATACTGCCAGACAGTGTCGAACAAAGTATCTTCAACCCACTTACAAAAGCCTGAACCGGCTGAGTAACACCTCAATAATAGATACAAAAAAGAACCCGGCTGAACTTAGCTGGAGAACTAAGAGAGAAGCGCGACGCAATAATCAAATATAGTTAGAAAAAAACTTTGCCCGCAGCAAGAATACTATTTTATGCATAACGGGCTGCAAGTCACTTAAAAGGAGTATTTTTATTGATAATTCAACACACTGGCGAAGCAGAGCTTCGCAACACTTGCATGCACAAAAAAAGATCAATTCTGAGCACAGAGACGAAGCTGAACTTCGCTCCACTTCCGATACGAAAGAAGAAAACCGCTCAGTCGAAAATTTCAAAAAAGAATTCTGAAAACGTCAAAAAAACTAGATATAACAGAATCAATCAGGCTAGTTTGGACAATAGAATGTGAAACTAGCATCGATCAAAACAACTTAAGACTTTAAGACTAAAAAACTTAAGACTGAAAAATAAGTAAGTAACCTTTGTCCTCAACACACACACAAAACTTTTTTGTGCGTCATATGAAACAAAAAAGGCAACTAAGCCGATATAATATAGGCCGCAACCAATTAAGCCCAAAACGAAAAATTAAAAAAAAAACAGAAAACTCAAAGTAGTTATTAAGTCCCCCTCATCCTCAAAACACGCACATACGCACTTAAAAACTTTTTTCGCTCGTCGAAAGACGCAATATGGGACCATTAAACCGATTTAATATAAGCAGAAAGCTATCAATTGGAAAAAAGGAAAAGATAAAAAACAAAACCAGAAAATTGTTGTCATGAAAATCTATAATTTCTATTACAATTTTTAGCATTTTGCGCAATCTGGAGGGGCGCATAGAGTCTTTTAAAAAAAGTAAACACACGAAGTCAAGATAATTAAACTTACAGAAAGCAGAAAAAACTCAAAACAGCAAAAGCAACTAAAATGTATCTTGCGTACAAAAAAATCTAAGATGTGGCAACTAAGCCGACAAAACATTAGCAGACAAATAATAGGCCGATAATTTTTTTGAAACGGAATATTCAACGTTTGAAAAATAATACAGGTCCTGCCCTATTCTAACCCAGGACCTTTGCCGTCCCAGGCGTATTCATTACCTCCAGACCAAATTCGCCAGATACGCACAGAACTTTGAATTTATGATGAACTGAACCTAAATATACCACTTCTAATTTTGACCATTCGGGAAAAAGTCTAGTACCCGATTGCAATACCCTTGCTTATCGCAAGAGTAAAAATATAAAGTCAGATAAATAGAAAAATCATTCATTTTTAGCCAACAGACAGTTGCGAGAGAGTCATTGGACGCAAGTAAACAGAAAAAATTGATTTGTATTTTTTTTTGAAAATTTCCTAAAATAGATTTGATTTTTGAAAAAACTGCAACTTTCGAACTTCAAAGTACACAATATATAAACCTGAAGCTCTTTGAATTTCAAGAAAAAATTATGAACAACTATTTTTGTTAAAACGATCCCAACTTGAGAAAACTGGATCAAAATGTTTAACCTTCAATCCATAGGCAAAACTGTGAAAAATAAACTCCTCGAAACTAGAGATCGATCATGTTTTGCGTGAGCTTTAAACTTCTGTATTTCGATAGTGGAGTTTGCCTCCCTTTCAATATGAAAACCGAACTGAACTTTAAAATAAATCAAAAGTCAAGCATCTAAAAAGTAATTTTACGATACTTATCATGTATAACAGTCACAAAAAAATGACTATAAAAAATGAGGCAAATTTTAACTGTTTTTCACAAATTTTCAAATCTCTGCACACACTATTATCTATACAGAACTTGACATTTTCAAAATATACACAAAAAGCGGCTAAAAGGGCAAACATAGCTTTAAAAAAGTCAAAAGAGAAGCAAAGTTGGAACTAAAAAGTTCTGCTATATGCCGGAATCGAACCTCCAGCCCTAAAAATCACAAATCACACGTCGTAGAATCGCACGTAAAATCTTAATCACAGGTCCTAGAGTCTGCGTTATGGTCGCATAACAGTAATTACACACTAGGGGCCAAGCTAAAGGCCGAAGTTCCTGTTTAAAAATACTTTAAAAAATGTATTGATGCATGTTGCACAAAATCAGCAAAAAAAATTGAACGAAAGTCCAAAGATGATTTACCGAATTCAAAGCTGACTCCAATCAACATAAGTACGAATAACACGCTTTTGACTGGGAGATATCCGATTGAGTATGTTCTTTTTTTAGAATTCGCTATGTTGTTTTTGTGAACTGAACCAATTCCAAAAATGGGTCAAACGGTCTATTACTTCTTATGTCCATAGAAAAATTCTTCACAAAATAGAAAAAAATATTAATGCGAGCGATACCCTTATATTACTTGTTTTTTTTTCGATTGGATCCTTTATCTCCGATTTGGCTAACGAACAAAATATTCCAAACAAACAAATTTCGCTAGGTCCAAATTGCTTTTCTACAAACACTGGGGTGTAGCCGCTATAAAAACAAATTTCCTCGCGCACGTTCTTTCGATTGAACAGTCAACCTTTGTTTTGGAAGAGTAGTTTTTGACAATGTTCTCCGAAAAACTGTGTATATTTCAAAAAAAGACTTTTACTAAATCCAACTAATTATCTACAAAAAAGGGCATATCAGCTTATGCCATGAGGACCTACTTCTTTCTGTTTTTTCCGATTGAATCTTTAGTCTCAGATTTGGCAGAGTAATTTTCAAAAATGAGCAAAATTTCAAAAATTGTACCTTTTTAAGGTGATAACTTTTTGCATTAAACAATTAGAACTACACCAATTGTGCAAAAAAGATTTTAAACAACATAATAATTCCGATTAAACCCTTAACCTTAGATTCGGTAGAGTATTTTTTGAGAAAATTGAAAACGTTTCCAAAAAAGATTCAAAATTTAAACAATTTCTTAGGCCAAAACTCGTTTTCTACCAAAATTAGGGCGTACCAGATTATGCAGGGAAAACCCAGCACACACATTTTTTTTGATTGAATCCTTAATTTCAGACTGTCATGGCATTTTCGAGAAAACGAAAATAATTCAAAAAGTGGGTCAAAAATTCCCCCAACTAAAACTTGAATAAATTTTACGCTAGATCGTGATTATAGCCAAAGTGCCACCAAATAAGTGAACATTTTTCACTTTGAATGAACCGTTTATTTGCGAGTTAGGTTAGAAAAAAAAGAAAATTCGTACTAATACACTAGCTGCTCGCTACTATACCCATCACGACTAACATAAGGGTATTCACTAAGTTCACCGACTCTTAAAAACTAATTTCATATTCAATACAAAAATCGACTAAAAAATCGAAAAGCTAGTTAGTACTCAATTCTCTTATGAATTGCATTCAATTAAACGATGTAGCTGGATTGTAAAAACACAGAAATCAAACCGAAAAAAAAACTGAAAGTAACAGAGTAGAACAAAAAATAAGAAAGAATATCAATTCAATAAATTTTAACCACAGGTTCGATTCGAAAAGCATTACAAAGGCACAACGGTATTTATTGAACGCTGCACAAAAGTAATAGCCTGCACATGAACTCATATGACGTGTAATAATTTCATGAGGTCACGCGCTGAAATCTGTGAACAAAGTTAGTAACGGGGAAAAGTTTAGTATCCAGTTGCAACACAATTGCTAAAGCAATTGTATTAACAGTGATAGTGGAGCGAGGACCGCCATGATGATGAGTAGATAGGATGACGATGCACTTATTGCTGACAAACTTGACGTTTAGCTCTCGAAATACGCTCATGACTTGACATAATCACTCAATAGTGTTATGATACGTTTATATATCAATAGTATGGACCTGTTTAGTTTGTGCATTGATTATTACTACACAAGAGGGCCCCTATTGTTACTTAGTTTTTTTCAAGATTTATCAAAGATTCTTAAAATTTGCAGTTGAGTATGTTCTTCACTAATGGAACAAAATTGCAGCTGATATATTTAACTTTCTTTATTTTCAATACCCACATGGTTTGCACAGGGGTTCATTATAACTTACTTTTTCCAAGATTTAGAAAAATTCACGCTGATCTAATTTATCGTTTTAATTTCAAAAATCGACCAAATACAGAAGCGTTAATAAAGGCAACTGTTGTTGATTTTAAATTGTTCAAGGCGGGGGAGGGGGCTTGTATCTACGTAGTAAGTTTTTGTTAAATTCACTCACTTATCGTCTTCGTTAAGGCATTCCACCAGGATTGGCATGATTCCACTTTTGATCAGCTTGTCTATAGGCGGATTCTTATCGCTTGACAAAAGCTTTCTAAAAGCAAAATTACTTTTGTAAACAAAACGTCGTAGCAAAAATTAGAGAAAAAAATCAAAATCGATTTACCTCGCAGCCTGAATAGCGCATAATTTTTGTACGGCATCTCTAGAACTTGCACCCTAAAAATAACTGAAACATTAATTATCAGAAGCTGCTTGTAGCTGATACCTTCGAAAGAATTGATTCGTACCGCAATGATGTCATGCATGTGCGCAAATGCGTCGCGATCACCCTCTGCATCCAGCATGGCGGCATTGAGAAGGTTTTGATCATAGGGAAGATTTCTTCTTTTGAGAACATGCTCGTCGCGCTTATTCTAAACATTCGTCTGATTAGTGTCAAAACTCGAGTAAAATACTATTGGCAAACTAATAACCATCAACAGTATCTCACCTTACGGAGTTCTACATTGAATTCATTTCTTCGTCTCCTCAGCTCCTTAAAAGAACAAACAATTTAATTACTGATAGATATTTGCTTCCCATGAGACTAAGCAAATTTAACTAACGTCATTATCTTTTCCCTTATTTTTGAAGTGTTTTATTCTTCCGTGTTCTTCTGCCATTTTTAATGAAACTAAAAACAAAATAGTCTGATATAACAAGCACCAGACTGATTAGATTCAGTCGCAATTGTTATCTATTCAATAAAATAATCTACAAAAATAGCATTACTTGCATTGCATCCCTACGCCCTTCTAGCCAGGACTGTGAGATACTTATTAAATAGGTGATTTGTATCAAATCTTGAACGAAGGCCTACAATGCGAGGATTTTAGAGACAAGATTCAATTGTATGTCTGGAATATCGAGATCACGATTTCATTCTTTCAGGAAAGCTCCGACGAATTACCTATTTCTAGCTGATTCATGGGCGAGATTTTAGAGAGCGGGTAACCTCAATATCTTATCGCTTCCAGGTGCCTGCATAAGGCACGCATACAATTTTATCCCCCCTGAAGTCGTTTTCAAGCTATCGTAACGACATATTCGACGTTTCAGACCCTCTTCCCAACAAGTCGCCCATGAACTTATCGCCCTAAGCGACTTTGCCTGCGAGAGAACTGGTAGCAGAGTTTTTGTCCTGGGCATTCCTGAACGAGCCAAGAAGCGAGCGAAAGCGACTGTGACGACTGACATTCTCAAAGCAAGAGCCGAAAAAATCTCTCCGGCCCATGAGGCCAAAGTTGAGATCAGGTATCGAGCTATAAGCAGCCTAACGTCTGGTAAACATTACTTCAAACCAGACCAGATCCATTTGAACAGTACCGGGCTAAAGAAGAAAAAAATCATAAAATAAAAGATCCTGTATAAGAAATGCGAAAGAATTGAACGAAGCAGGTAAGCAGCGAGTAATCGAGTGCAAGACAGAAAAGTGTCGGTGTTCACAACTTTGGAACAATCAACTACAGTAGAACGGTTAATCCTTAATTTTGATTGTCAACAGGTCCCCACAGTTACACCGGTCTGTCAACTTAGAACAAAAACAGCTAGTTTTTTTCAACGGTACCTTCAGGTGCCGCCCGTTAGAACTACCAACGCTCCTGTTTCTCGTTTCATCTAATGGTACCTTCAGGCGACACCAGTTGAAACTGTAAGCACCCTCTAAAGATGGCCGAAAACACATATACATGCAAAAACTAGAACCATTGCATACGACCACGAGAAGCGACATTCGATTGCGTAAGATGCGGATGTAGAACGTATCTTACAGAAAATTGCGCCAAGTTTAATAGAAACACAGAGACCTGCTTGATGGACATTGGCATGATTTTAGTTCTCTTGTGTATTAGCTAGGTCATTTCAAACCAGCGTGAGATCGCGATGTCGGTCCTAAAAAAACTAGTCCCGATAATGGAAAAAAAAACGGAAACAAAGGGAAACGAGATGAAGCTAAAATAAACTGAATTGGAAATTAAAAATAGTCTATAAAAATCGAAACAACTTGCGGAAACGAGACCATATCAAGAAAAAGAACCGACAAACTCAAAAGCTAAAATCAACGCATCTTAGAATGCATCACTAGGAATAAGCATAAGAGGAGTGAAAGAATGCAAGGACAAAGATGCAAGAAAAAGCCAAGAGCAGAATTTTATTGAGTTTCAGAAAGTATTTGCCCACATGGATGTTGAAACCAAAATTAAGGATCTAATCAGGCTAGCCCAACAAGGAAAAGATTGAAACCAAACAATAGTTCTCAAACTACCAACCGTCTAATAAAAACGGCTGATATTATCGCCAGCTACGAAACTGAAAAAATAGGGAGCAGATTGTACAAAAGAGACGCAAATCAATGAAGTTTCATGGCAACGGAAAAGGAAACAGAAACATTTTGAAATAAAAAAAGCTCAGTTTGTTGCTATACAATGTAAGAAGCATTCTTGAACGTTCAAGAAGAGTTCTTTTCTCGAGTGCCATCAACTGCCTGTGACCTCAACTGCCTGACGGAAGCATGGTAAACAGATTAGGTGACCACACGTTCTATCTTTCCCTAGAAGTCCCTAGAAGTTTCCCTAGAAGTCCATCAAGTGCCTGTGACCTCAACTGCCTGACGGAAGCATGGTAAACAGATTAGGTGACCACACGTTCTATCTTTCCCTAGAAGTCCAGAATACACCGAATTGATCGACAACACGTCAAGGCAAAACTAAAAACGGAGATGTAATCATTGGAATAAATAGTTTCAGATATTAAATAGTTTCAGATAGATGGAGCTATCCGGGGCAGCGGTTGAGACCCCCGTCTCCTCTTCCGAAATTGAAATGGACTCGCAGAAAGGACGACGCAGGCTTGATTCAATGCCTAAAGACTAATCTCCAACCATCGACGAGATGGTTCGTGGTGACACCGAAGAAGTCAATCGTCATCTCAACAAGATGAACAAAGACTCAATAATCTGCTTGCTACGAGAAGCAATCTCCCAGATGAGTACCGATCGTGAGAGAGGCATAAGAAGTAAAGAGTTAGTTCTTGAAGTGAAGAAAGTTATCCGAGATTCTTTTATCGAAAACAACGACCAAGTGCCAAGTGAAGAACTCGTGAATGGAGTTAAGTCAGCAGTCGAACAAGCAGTTACCAACTGTAGAGTGGAAAACACGGGCGGAACCGCTTTTGCTGCTCCCGTACCAGCTCCATTGCGCCAACCAATGGAGTCCCATCAGCATCAAATCAGAATAAATGGTATCCTCGAAAGTGACTCCAAAATCAGAACTGAAGTCTTGAACTATCAGTCTGGGGAGTTCAATAAAGTTATGAAATTCCTTGGCGAGGTCCCGACAATAACAGACATAAAAAGACTGGGGCGACCCTCGCCCGACAACAACAGACCTGGAACTCTTCTGATTACATTCCATAATCCGTGGGATGTTAGAAAAGTCTTGGCTAAAGCTGCCACCCTGAAAGAGTACAAAGAACGAAAAGTTTTCATCTCGAAGTCTATGAACCGCGATGAACGACAAATTGAAGACCAACTTCTCAAGAAACGACGCGAGTTAATCAACAACAATGTCAACCCCCGAGCAATAAAAATCAAGTTTCCAAGACTTTTTGTCGACGACAAATAATTCATTATGAATGACGAAAACATCTCTGAGGAATGCTGACTAGAGAACTCTCAGATACAGATACTTACAATGAACACAAGAAGTCTTCTCACCAGAGAACGGAGATTCACATTTGCCAACGCAATCAATGCACATTCCTATGATATCTTCTGTGTCAGTGAGAGCTGGCTCACATCCGATATGAAAAACTCTGAACTATTTTTACCGAACTTTACAATTTTCCGAGCCGACCGTCTAACGAGAAATGGGAACTCGGCTCATGGAGGAGTTTTAATTGGGGTAAGAAATAGTTATCACTTCGAACAAGTTTATATTGCCTCTACCGAAGACTTATTGTCATCCTCCTACGTATGTGTCTCTGTTTCTCTCAGGGATTGCAAGTTGTTAGTGTGCTGTGTGTACAACCCGCCCAAGGACAGTCCCTACCGACTATCGCCTGATTCAGTCAAACACTTTTTGAGCACAGTATGCACACTGGAATCATTCATTCATGTTCTCATCACTGGCGATTGGAACCTGCCTAAGACGGATTGGAGCCTCTACTCTTCAACGGACGACTACGAAGATGAAATAGCCGTCATATGGACTCACTGATGCTCCGCCAGCTAGTAACTGAACCAACCCGTGGATCAACAACTCTGGATCTTGTACTCATCAAATCACCGCACCACACTGATGATGTCTTGATTAATGAATCATTTGAAAAATCATTTTCGGTCTCCGACCATAGACCAGTTAAATCAACCTGGCTTTGCAGTGGAACTCCAACAGTGAATGAGAGTTGATCCAAAACTTACAGTTTCACAAACTGTGACTACGACGATGCAAAGAATATGATATTGGACACATTTTTTAGCCCTATTTGCTACAGTAATATTAACAAAATGGTAGATGAATGGTGCGACTGGATCTTTAAAATCATTGATGCCTCCGTGCCGGTCAGATCAAATCACCGTGCCCAACTCAGTCCTTGGGTAACTGGTCGCACCTCCAACGTTCTGAAAAAGCTTAGTACGGCTGAGAAACACAAAAAAAGCGAGCCTAAAATTCAATCTCTGAGAAATGAAGCTGCCTTGTACCTGGATGAAGACATAGTGGAATATGAAACCAAGCTTTTTTCTGGAAGAAACACTGGATCAATTTTCAAATACATGAAGAGTTTGAAAAAAGACAACCAATTACCTTCAGTCATCAGGTGGAAAGAAGTGTCTGCCGACAGTAATCTCCGCAAAGCAAATCTGTTTAATGACTACTTCATCAGTGTGTTCACTCGCAACACTTTGGATGTACAACTGGGGGAGTCAGATTCCAAACTACCTGACGGAAGAGTTGCCAGTGATTATCAAATCGATAGAGATGTAGTATATAATGTCCTCTCTAATTTGGACATATCCAGGAGTCGCGGTGAAGACCAACTTCCACCAGTGTTCTTGCGCAAATTAGCAACCGAGCTAACTCCTTCAGTTTTCAGCGTGTTCCGGAACATTCACAATCTGGACACGTTTCCCGAAAAATGGAAACTAGGCATTGTCAGACCTATTTTCAAGAAAGGGAAAAAGTCCGAGATTTCGAATTATCGCCCTGTTATTCTTCTGAATATTGTTTCGAAGTGTTTTGAGAAAATTGCATTTTCGCAAATCGCCGACCATTTTATCGAGTATGTCAATTCAGTCCAGTTCGGTTTCTGCCTTGTAAACCTGCCATTCTTCAACTATTACATTGCCTGAACTACATTTATGCATCAATAACCGAAAAAATCATTGCTTTGTGCCTAGTAATGTTCGACGTTTCTAAAGCTTTTGACAAAATCAGCCACACAGTTCTTCTGCAAAAAATCAGAAACGTTGAGATAGAAGGAAAACTTCTCAAGATTCTAAGGAGCTACCTTACAAACAGATCTCAGAGAGTTCGCATCAATGGTATTTTGTCGGCTGTTCGCTTAGTGCTGAATGGTGTTCCCCAAGGCTCACTGTTGGGTCCGGTTCTATTCTTGATTTTCATCAATGACCTCCCTGATAAAATATTTAATTCTGTTGCTTTTATCTTTGCTGACGACTTGAAAACGTTTTTCGACAAATCCCAGATCTTGATAGACTGAGTTCTTGGTCTACCGAAAATCGGTTGCCTTTCAATATTTCAAAATGTTGTGTAATAGATTTTAGGAATT